TGAATCTGGTCAGTTTCAGCAGCGGCTGAATCTGGATGCCAGTTCCGACTTACATACAGATTCAACTTAAGAACAAACCTACAGTCCCTATCTTGTACGTAACCCGGGGACTGCCTGTATTCCTCAAAACTGTTTTTTGTTACCTCTCTGTTTTTCTGTGCTTGGTGCAGCCTATGTGCACACCCCTCTTAACTGTTTGTGGAGCTGATAATGCAATTGTATATGCACTTCCTGGTCTATTTACAGCAGAGGCGGGCAATAACTTTTTGCCAGGGGCCACTTAAGAAATTTTTGAAGTGGTTCCGGGGCTGCACTGGAAGAGGCCTCAAAGCAGAAGGAATGGGCTGGTATACTTCCCTGCTTCCCCACCCACAGATCATGATTGGTCTGGGCGTGGGTAAGTGCCTTTGCCCCTCCCCGCCAGGTTCTCCCTAGGCGCCCATACCCCTGGCAATGGGAGGAGACTTCACGTGTTCCCCCTTCTTCCCCCAACCCAATCAAGGTTTGGGGGCAGGGGAGTGCACAAAGTCTCCTTCCACCCTATCAGGAGTGCATGGCTGAGCGCCTCATGCTCCTCGCAGGCTGGGAGCAGGGTGGAGGAAACTTCACATTCCTCCTGCCGTCAGGCCCTGATTGGCCAGGGCAGGGAGCAGCAGGGTCTCCATGGGCCAGATCAATCTGCTTGGTGGGCCGAATCTGGCCTGCAGAGACCCTTTTGCCCACCCATGACTTACAGGGTTGCCTAAACTGACAAGGGCATGCTTGTGCCCCTTCTCTGCTTCTCAGACTCTATTGTCTACCTTGCAATCAACATAGGGCTCTATTACTCTGTGCTACTTCATTGGAACATCCACTGCCCTAAGAAAGGTGATGAGGAAACTCTCCTTGATCTTCATTTCATCTGCAAAAGCAGACCTCAGAGTTCTGGTTACTTGTCATTCAGGTTTCTTTCCCTCTTCACCTCCTGTGAGTGAATCTTAACAAGGCATTTGTTTGGTTTTATTTAGAATTACTTGTCATTCAGGTTTCTTTCCCTCTTTACCTCCTGTGAGTCAATCTTAACAAGGCATTTGTTTGGCTTTATTTAGAATGTTAATACCATTTTACTCTTTCCTTCTAGAAGAGATGTGTGTGATCTAATTTATTTTCAGTAACTTCATTAACTTTTTGGTTATTTCTAATGCAGCTGCTCACAAGCTGTAAAGCACAGGAACATATACTCTCTTTTCTTTAGCCTTAATCCACAATATCCTTTAGTTGAGCATTTTTCAAAGGGGGGGGGTAGTACCCTGGGTACTAGGAATGTTAGCAAACTTGTTTACATGCATGGAGGGCAGGTGGGAGCCTGTGCTTGCAAGGAGCACCAGTTCCCCCTATCCTCCTCTGCTGTCTCTGATACAGTGGGGGGTGATACAGAGGCAGCAGTGGGAGGAGCTAAGGGGGGAGCAGGTAGCTCCATGGGAGCCAGCACACACACGAGTCAGCTTAAAAGCTGGTTCCCTGTGTGTACTGGCTCCTGCCTGCCCTCCTTGCCCCCAGCACAGCGTTCTGTCTATCAGAGGGGACAGTCCCTAGCAGCTGGGAGAGACTTGTTGCTTTTGTTCTCAACAGGGAGTTGCTGCTATGGGAAGTACCTTTCTCTCCCCAGCCAGGCAGCTCCATGCACAGAGCCCTGAGCCTCTGGCTGGGCGAGGCTGATTAAGCAGCTGCAGGGCTGTGTTGCTGCACATTTTAGAGGGAACCTTGGTTGTATAAGCCATAAATCCAAGTGTGTCTGTTCAGTACATGATTTTTAGTTTCTAATGGTTACCAATTTAACCACTAGATTCAGTGATTACAGTCTCCTCTTGCTGGTTTCCTTTGAAGATGAAGACTGAGAAGTCAGATGTAGAGAGCTTAGGGAAAAGTATTCACTCACAGGTTTTTCGCCTGGTCTATGGTAGAAAAATAAGTCTGTGTAACTGCAACACTTGGATATGAAAAATCCACACCCCAGGGTGGCATAGTTAAGCCAATCTAACCCCCTGTGCATACAGCGTGAGGTTGAAGGAAGAATTCTTCCATCAGCCTAGCTATCACTGCTTAGGGAGGTGGATTATCTATAGTCCTGTAACCCTTCCTGTCAGCATAGTTGGCATCTACACTGAAGTTCTGCAGTGATGCTGCTATAGCATTTCAAGTGTAGATAGGCCTCGTCTTTATCATTTTTCTGTGTGAGTTCATTTGACAGTGTTGTGATTATCTTGTTTCACCATGTAAATAGTAAGCATTTAATTCACTGAAGAGGCACACCATATGTTGTGATAGGCATGTTTACAGATTTTGCTGAAGAGGCACACCATATGTTGTGATACAAAATCTGTAAACATGCCTATCTCTTATTCTGGTACTACTTTGAGATGGTGTGTCCTGTCCTGTTGGGGGCTTGCTTCTGGTGATGGGGAGGAGGTTGTCTGAATGCTGGAAGAAGGCGTTCAAGAAATATTTCTTTCGGGATATGGTCCCCATCAGATATCTTGGCTGGGGATTAGACTAGACAACCCTTTTGGTCCCTTCTGACACTGTAATTCTAAGTATGGGTTGTATTTGTTTAATGATCTGCATATGTTCCAGTGTGATGTGATTGGTGATGATTATGGGTCTGTGGATAGAGAGGTATTGTTTCCATATTGAAGTAGGCTTTTCCTGGGGTATTTGAGTGGCCTGTTCAATGATATAATCTACTTCTCCAGTGGAGTTTCCTTTTTTGGTGAAGGCATTTTTAATTGTGTTAAGGTGCGTATCCTAGGGGCATATCTGTGTTCCTGGCTATAGATAACAGATGTTTTGGGATGGTTACTAGCAGTGTTCCTGCTAAGATTTTCCAACCATGATCAGAGTGAATTTTGGCTTGTGCCCCAATATTGGGGTCATGTGCACTGGTTTGGATGTGTGCTGCTGTGACAACCAATTTATTACCCCCCCTCCACACACACACACTTAGAAGGGATCCTCAGAACATCTCATCTGACCTCCTGTATATGATAGGTCACCAACACCGTCCAGCACCAGTGTTCCCTGCAAGCTGAGAACTTGGGCAGCCCCCCAGGAGAGATTCAAATGCCTCCCAGCTGATTAGTAGCACACCCATAGCACCTGCAACCAGCAGCATGCGTTTCTACTGGTGGTGCACACACACACACACCCCTGCCATGCAGTAGGTCCTGTTCCTGGCCCCAGCTGCCAGAACAGCCCCCGGCCTCCCTGCCACATGGCAGCCCCGGCCACTGGAGCAGGCCTTCCCCCTCCCCTGTGGTCCTAGCCCCCCACCCCAGCAGTTCCCTCACCACCCCGTCTTGGCTGGTCCTGCCTGCTGGAGCAGCTGCCTTTTGCACAGCTTGCCAGAGGAGGTGGGCGGGGGAAGAATTTTTTTGTGTGCAGCCATACACCTTATTGGCAACTATGGTTAATGGGTCTTTGAAGGTAGGTATGGTGATATGTGGGCATTTTATGGAATTTTTTGGAAATTTCATGGCATTAAATTGTTTATTAACAAATGACTTTACTGTACAATTTAACATCTTTATTCTGCAGAAAAGAAGACTATAATATTTATCCTTTTTTTTTTCTTTCCCCGCTCCCCCGCATCTTAGTCTTTCCTTGGTTTGGCTTGGATATTGGAGGGACCTTGGTCAAACTTGTTTATTTTGAACCAAAAGACATCACTGCTGAAGAGGAGGAGGAGGAAGTGGAAAATCTTAAAAGTATCCGAAAATATCTGACGTTAAATGTAGCCTATGGATCTACAGGCATTCGGGATGTGCACCTGGAACTAAAGGACCTTACCCTGTGTGGACGTAAAGGCAATCTGCACTTTATACGCTTTCCTACTCATGACATGCCTGCTTTTATTCAAATGGGCAGCGAAAAAAACTTCTCAAGTCTCCACACTACCTTATGTGCCACGGGAGGTGGAGCATACAAATTTGAACAGGACTTTCGCACAGTATGCATCTTTGGCTTCTTTACTCTTAGGATATGGTAGCGAAATGTCATGTAACTTGTAAGATTGCAAGATAAAGGCTGAATGTAATTTCAATCTGAGTTAACTTCTGAAAAGTCTAGCATCCTAAATTGAGCTCAAGTTGAACGAGCTAGAAATAAGCCTGCACATCTGTAAACGCAGATATTTACTTACTATTTTAAGAGTGTGTAGTTTTGCTGTGAATTCAGAATTACTCATTTTAATTTCTATGAAATATGCCTTTACAAAACTTGAATAGTCATTAGACTTACACCAACTCTGCTACCTACCTTAACTTTATTTTTTCCATAGCTGTCTATTTATGAACATACTATTTGTTTCATACTTGCCGAGTTGATTAAGGTTCATTTATAACTTATATGGCTGTGATTTTCATTAAGATTCTATTGAGTGAATTGGTAAATTAACTGCAAGTGACTTGTTTGTCCAGATTAATCATAAGAATGGGTGTTTCAGATACAGATAATATAATTATAGCTTGAGCGTTAACTTTGTCAAGCTCAGGTTATATAATTATCAGACAACCAAAGAAGTGTCTGGATGAAAAGATTACCATGCTGTTCCCTCCTGCCTCTTGTGAGGAGCCAGCTTTTTTCTTTTTCCCTTGACCCCTTGCCTTTTCTAGCTTTTGTGAGGCACTCTGAGTCTGATCCAGACCCCAGTGAAGAACCTTTCCATTGATATTGGCTCAGGTCTTCTATTAGTTCCTACTCAGTGGGGTTAGGATGTGTATGAATCTTGTTATCACATTGCCAGGCACTACACCTCAATAGCACAGGGAGCATTCCACTCTGTACTGTACAGATGTGTGGGAGATTAGGACCTCTCTTGTGATCTATACTTCACTCCTCCTGCTGCCATGCAGAGCAAGGAGGGGTACTGAATGTGGTGTGAGTGCATTTTTCTAGCCTTGAGTATAAAAACGGTAGATCACTTTGGCTGTTTCATAATTTTATTTCCTTTAACAGGTGGGTGATCTTCAACTTCGCAAACTAGATGAACTTGACTGCCTTATTAAAGGAGTTTTGTACATAGACTCAGTTGGATTCAATGGACGCTCAGAGTGCTACTACTTTGAAAACCCAACTGATTCTGAAAAATGTCAGAAGCTCCCATTCAACTTGGAGAATCCATATCCTCTCCTCTTGGTGAACATTGGCTCAGGGGTCAGCATCTTGACTGTGTATTCCAAAGACAATTATAAGCGGGTAACTGGGACCAGGTAAGATCTATAAATAATACGTTAGATTACCTGTAAGAGCATACTCTTGGAGCTTGGAATTTACCCATGGTAAAAGAGACCTCATATTTTCAGAGACAAGTTGCTTTAAAAATGTTTCTTGTCTGATTAAAAACTCTGTTTTGCTATAATATTGTACCTCCTCATTCCCACCCCCAGCAAGCCAATGTCTTTTTTGTGCTCTGGATGGCATGTCACAATCTTCTCCATACCACACCCAGCCTCTTCAGAGAGGTCAGTTCATGACCTGTTCATCCTTCTGCTGCTGCAAGAAACTAATTTTTGTTTTCATCAGAGGACTGTAAATCATATTTTGGAAACATCCAGTCATCTTTGGAAATATCTTTTTTTTTTAATGTCATTGCTTTAATTCAGGTATTCAGGGTTTGTATTTTGACTCTTTAAATCTGTAGTACCCATTATGAATGATGGGATGGTGTTCAAAGTTATAATCAGGTCTGAGAGAATAGTACAACAACCTGTTGTCCAACATGGCCAAACAGATCTTGGACTTTAGGGACTTTCAAAGATTGAAATTCCGCATGGAGCTCAGGGCCAGCGGGGACTCCTTTTGTACATTTCAAAGCGGATGTGCCCATATGGAGCCCAGGGTCAATGGAGGACTCACTGTTGGCCCCAGGCTCCACGCGGCATTTCAGTCTTTGAAATGCACAAGAGCCCCTACCGGGTGGAACACCGCCGCTGCGCCCCTGCTGTTCCCATGGAGTTGGAGCTGGGGGTAACCGGCTTTTAAGCCAGCTCTCCCCAGTACCCCTCCTCTTCCCCCCTCCCCTTACGGCTTCTTTCTGATAGAGGCATCGGGGTGGGGGGTGAAGCGACTAGTTGACTATCCGATAAACATTTGATTATCGGATAGTTGATTAGTCACGTACATCCCTACGAACACAGTTCCTGTTGTCCGTGGATCACTGTTCTGTGCCGATGGGAGTGGCGGGGAACAGCATCCCAATCCATGCCACTTCCTGCTGCTTTCATTGGCCAACAGAAGCTGCAATCACTGGTACCTGCAGCCGTACAGATAAATATAGTGGCTGTGGCCCACCAAGGGCTAACGCTGGCAAACTGTTGCCATTTTATTGCCCACTCGTCTTACGTTGTACATAGCTGTTTATTCAACACACTGTAATGCATCTTGTAGGAGGAGAAAAACTACTTCTCATTTAATCAGTAACTCTAGGGAAGAAAACTAAACAACGGGTTGACTTGTGGGCTGTGAAGTTATCTTAAGGAAGCAGATTTAAATGTTGGTTAGAAAGAGGACTTGCATTTAATTCCTCTTTTCTATATTTCCAGTGAAAAGAAAATTAAAGAATTCTTTGGCAAGCCAGCTAATTCTTGGTATTCAGAGGAGTTGTTACATAACTTAAAGAACAAAAAACAAGCCCTTTTTTCTCCCTTTCTTCAAAATGAAAGATAGAAAATATTGCTTGTTTTGTTTTGTTAGTCTTGGAGGAGGAACATTTTTTGGTCTCTGCTGTCTTCTTACTGGTTGCTCCACCTTTGAAGAGGCTCTTGAAATGGCATCCCTTGGAGACAGCACGAAAGTGGATAAATTAGTGCGGGACATCTATGGAGGGGATTATGAGAGATTTGGACTGCCAGGTTGGGCTGTAGCATCCAGGTAAGGATATACATTGGGGTTTTTCAGGATGCATATTATGTGCTTGAATGAAAACCGGGGTCAGCAGGGGTGTATTTTTAGCACCTCTAGGTTGTTGGGAGTTTTTTGTGGGGGAAGTGTTGGTTTGTTTTTGTGGGTGTGTGTTTTGTGTGGAACTGTCCCCATGCAGAGCAGACTCCCCATTGACATACTCATCATAGCATACCACAGTAGGCTCTCCTCTCTAGGAAACCCTATTTACAACTCACATTGGTGTGCTGCCTCTTATAACTCGCCCTCTGACTGCATAACTTTTGGCTATCCTGGAAAGGGTGTCACTAAAAGTCCAACAAACAATAGGCCCCTGGCTTCAAGTTGTGACTCAGTAGTCCTTCCACTCCTGGTCACTAGGGTCTCTGTACTGCTTTTTCTGGGGACCAGAAGGGGGAAATCCAGGTCTTTCATCTTCTCTGGATTCCATTCAAGGACCCTGCATTAAGCAGGCAAAGTCTGTTTTCTGCTTCCTCCTGGGACTACTACTTACCTTGGTCACCTGCAGGTCTCCTCCCAGGTCAGTTCCTGAGCTCCCTGTTTACCTGTGTTTCTTGCAAGTTTCCTTTGGTCTTGGACTTCACCTTTCCTTCAGGGTGATGGCTCCTGGAATTCTCCAACAAATCCCAAACCAAAGGACAAACTGAAGCCACTTCTGCTCTTCCCTTACTTGAATTTTAGTCTTTCCCAGGTCTGTCCCAATACTCTGCTCCTCAGCTGAACACTAATGCTCGAGGGCTGCCTCATGGAGTTTTGTCTATATTTTGAAACTCACTGCAGGAGGTAACTGTTCTCCTGTGGCTTTTCCTGATTCTCTTATTTCACTTCATTCAGACTATTCTCCCCAGCTCCTCTGTTCTGTGTATCTTTCTAGCTTAGCTTTCTCTGTCCTTTTAAGGAAACCTGACTTATTTCCAGTGGACCTGCTAATTGACCTACTTAACCTTGAACAGGTCTCGGGTTCTTGTTAACCCTCTCACTACCAGTGGGCTGTAAACCCTGTCACAGTAACGTAAGTGTACTTTTGACAAACATTATTTGCAATTCATTCTTACTGGATTTTAGTAATCGAGGCTGTAACTACATGGTTCGCTTTTACATACTTCCATTAAAAGTGGTATTATGCATTCACTCTGGAATTGTGGCACTTGCATTCTGATACTGCATAATTTCCAGTAAGTGGACACTTAACTCTAGAATTTTCTGCACAGCTTTGGGAATATGGTGAGCAAGGAGAAGAGAGAGTCTGTGAGTAAAGAGGACCTGGCAAGAGCAACTTTAATAACCATCACCAATAACATTGGCTCCATAGCACGGATGTGTGCACTTAATGAGGTATTGAAAAATCTGAGAAATAGCATATAACCTCTTTTGATCTCAGACACAGGTTTCAATTAGCAATTACTGCAAACTGGTAGCATATATGAATATCTGGTTTTCCTCTCTGTAGAAGCAACTACATGCATACCTGTATTTACTTAACTACATGCATTGCTTAATTTTAATTTTACTTTTAAGTAAAGTTAGTTGTCGTGGAATAAAAGGGAAGGTCCTCTCATGGATTGATAACTGGCTAAAAGATAGGAAGCAAAGGGTAGGAATACATAGTCAGTTTTCAAAATGGAGAGTTGAGGAATACATAGTCAGTTTTCAAAATGGAGAGCTGTCCCCCTGGGGTCTGTACTGGGGCCAGTCCTATTCAAGATAATCATAAAAGATCTGGAAAAAAGGGGAAACAGTGAGGGGCAACATTTGCAGATGATACTAAACTGCTTAAGATAGTTAAGAACAAAGAAGACTGAAGAGCTTCAAAAGGATCTCTCAAAATGAGGTGATTGGCAACAAATGAATTTTAATGTTGGTAAATGCCTCTGTATAAACCCATGGTATGCCCACATTTTGAATACTGCGTACAGATGTGTTCGCCTCCTCTCAAAGATATATTGGCATTGGAAAAGGTTCAGAAAAGGGCAACAAAAATGATTAGGGGTTTGGATTGGTTCCCATATGAAGAGAGATTAAAAAGACTGGGACTTTTCATTTTAGGAAAGAGGAGACTAAAGAGGACTATGATAGCAGTCTATAAAATCATGACTGGTGTGGAAAAAATGAATAAGGAAAAGTTATTTACTTGTTCCCATAACATAATAACTAGGGGTCACCAACTGAAATTAATAGGTAGCAGGTTTAAAACAAACAAAAGGAAGCTTTTAGTAATGCAGTTCTAAGTCAACCTGTGGAACTCCTTGCCAGAGGAGGTTGTGAAGACCAGGACTCTAACAGAGTTCAAAAAAGAACTAGATACATTCATGGAGGTACAGTCCAACAATACTTATTAGCCAAAATGGGTAGGAATGGTGTCCCTAGCCTGTTTGTCAGGGCCTGGAAATGAATGACAGGAGAGGGATCACTTGATTACTTGTTTCTGTTCACTCCCTTGGGGCATCTGGTGTTGGCCACTGTCAGACAGAATAATGGGCTAGATAGACCGCTGGTCTGAGCCAGTATGGCCTTTCTTATGTTTGGATGCTCTAGTTTAAATTGTAACCCTAGATTTCCCTTTCCCACCTGCCCTAATGATCTAGTCAAATAGCAGCTCTATAGTCAAAGCATTGTAAAAGAAGAAAAAATGTTTTGTCATTTATTGGTCCAGTCAATTTCCTTTACTATTCATGAAGTAAATTGCTTTTCTGGGAGAGTTGGGGGAATTGTGGAATTGCAGGTAAAAAGTGGTGAAACAGGATATTGCTTTTCTTGGGCACAAAATTATTGCATCTTGTTACTGGTAGGCATCCAAACTAAGTGCATTAGTGAAAAGAGAACTATACCTGCCGAAAGAGAATCTTCTGGATGTTATTTTGTTCTTATTACTCTTGCATTTTTAAGCTACCACTGTGCTCCTGGGCCTTTCTGAGGTTGTCTCTCTGAGCTCTTTGCTTTCAGCTTCTTTACAGTGCTGCCTTGTTGCATTCAGATCAAGCAGCATTGTACAGGGCTATGAAAGAATTGAGACCTGTTCTTCACTTCATTTTGGGGCTGCTTGTACAGGATTGAGTCCATCAGGTTGAAGTGTATTTGTACCTTTCATAATCCTTGTCAGTATTAAGTTACTATTCTGCACTACTATAGTACAAATGCAATAAATACACAATGTACTATCCAAAAGGTTAGGGGAAAAACAGTCCTGCCCATGGTATTTTTCATTCCCCTCCAGCCCTTTCTGCTTGATTTCTCTATTAATAGACTGTTGAGTGCAAACAAGGCATCCTCCAGTATAGGAGGACGTGGTGAACTTGTTAGTATGGAGAACACCATGGAAAAGGTCACATTCTGTGGTGTAATCCAGACCAGTGAGGAGTTGTCACTACTTTCCTTTCTAATTTGGGTGCCTCTTTTGTTGCAGCTTCCAACATTGACCACTCACAAACAGCTTAACAGCAAGCTTTACACTCTTTGAGTGTGTCTGTACAGCTACAACTCCTGTCCAGCAGCTCTGACCCAGCAGCCTGTCAGCAACACACCAGCCACAGTTTGACTTCCAGCAGCCTTAATTACTGCTTGCGGGGTTGACCCCAACATGCTCCTGGTCCTAAATTTTTCCCAAAAGCATTTTTCTGCCTTATCCCGCCCTCTCCAGGACAGTTCAGATCTAATCATTTCATTGTCTCTGTAAGGGGTCACTCTCCAACAGCCTAATATCAGTAGAATTATAAGATACCTCTTAACACTTCATTATATTTGATTAAAAAAAAGTTTATTTAACTAGATTTTAAATGAGTTCAAGTGTGAGATCTTAGTCAGAAATTATTGAGAGAAATAAAGATAAAATGCTTTCTACTAACTATACCTTAGCAAACTAGACTTGGTTCAAGGTAAAAACCCTTACCAAATGTTCCCAACAGGGTGGACCAACTTCAGGTCAGAATCCTTTGCGAAGTCTGGCTCTTTGTCTTAGGCAAAAGAGCTAGGGAGAGAGAGGATAGAAACCATGGGGTGATCTTAGACCAGTCATCCCCTGGAAATGCATTTTCCTAAGGCTAATTCTAGATAAAGTTCTTTGCAGTATGAGGATAGAGTGTTGTAATGAAAAACGTTCCATGTTGTTTGTTAAAATGAAGCAAGGTCTGTTTCTGCCCCCCTGGGGTCAATGAATGGCCACCTGACTGGTGATTGCCAGTCAGTTTTGTCGACACTTGGCTAGAAGCTTCAGCTAGTTCTTAGTCTTTGATAAACAGGTTTACCCTCTCCCCATACTTGTCTGGTAAACATATTTCAGTCGTATGTTCATAACTTTACATATAACATTGCTATACACATCACCATTCTTTTACTATCCAGTAAGTTGTTAGTTTTCAAATGATACAAGGCACATTTTGTACAACAATTATTACAGTGGTATGTAGTCTGTGACTACATACATGCATTTGGTAACAGAAGAATGCATGGAAGAACAGGTTTGGAGAACCAGAGAAATACTCCTTAGTCATGATGCTTCAGTCATGTTGGAAACTTGCAATGCTATATTGAAGCTGCAGAATTCCCTAGCCAGGAGACATTTTGTTTCAAGATTATAGTTATTACAGTGTGAATGGAGGTTGTTAAAACCCTCCATTTAAAATCCATTTAATTTCAAAAAGGGGAATTACACAAAAATGAGGAGGTTAGTTAAACAGAAATTAAAAGGCACAGTGACTAAAGCCAAATCCCTGAAAGCTGCTTGGAAACTTTTTAAAGACACCATAATAGAGGCCCAATTTAAATGTATACCCCAAATTAAAAAACTTAGCAAGAGACCTAAAAAAGAGTCACCATGGCTTAACCACCATATAAAAGAAGCAGTGAGGGACAAAAAGGTATCTTTTAAGAAGTGGAAGTCCAATCCTAGTGAGATAAATAGAAAGGAACATAAGCACTGTCAAATCAAGTGTAAAAATGTAATAAGAAAAGCAAAAAAAGATTTTGAGGAACAGCTAGCCAGAAACTCAAAGAAATAACAAAATGTTTTTAAGTACATTAGAAGCAGGAAGCCTGCTAAAAAACCTGTGGGTCCCCTAGGTGATCGAGCTATAAAAGGAGCAATCAAGGACGATAAAGCCACTGCGGAGAAACTAAATGATTTCTTTGCTTCAGTGTTCACGGCTAAGGATGTTGGGGAGATTCCCAAATCTGCACCATCCTTTGTGTGTGATGATTCTGAGGAACTGTCCCGGATTGAAGTGTCATTAGAGGAGGTTTTGGAACAAATAGAAAAACTTAATATTAACAAATCTCCAGGGCCGGATGGCATTCATCCAAGGGGGTTCTAAAAGAACTCAAATGGAAAATTGCTGAGCTATTATCTGTGGTTTGTAACCTATCCCTTAAATCGGCTTCCGTACCTAATGACTGGAAGGTAGCCAACGTGACACCAATATTTTAAAAGGGCTCTAGAGGTGATCCTGGCAATTACAGACCGGAAAGTCTAACTTCAGTACTGGGCAAATTAGTTGAAACAATAGTAAAGAATAGAATTGTGAGGCATGTAGAAGAACATAATTTGTTGGACAAAAGTCAACATGGTTTCTGTGCCTGTCTTACTAATCGGTTAGAGTTCTTTGAAGGGGTTAACAAACATGCAGACAAGGGGGATCCAGTAGATATAGTATACTTAGATTTTCAGAAAGCCTTTGACAAGGTCCCTCACCAAAGGCTCTTGTGTAAATTACATGGCCATGGGATAAGAGGGAAGGTCCTTTCTTGGATCAAGAACTGGTTAAAAGACAGGAATCAAAAGGTAGGAATAAATGGTAAATTTTTAGAATGGAGAGGGGTAACTAGTGGTGTCCCCCAAAGGTCAGTCCTGGGACCAATCCTTTTCAACTTATTCATAAATGATCTGGAGAAAGGGGTAAGCAGTGAGGTGGTAAAGTTTGCAGATGATAC